AACACAATGCAATTTAGGTCCTCATGATGTTCCAATTAATGATTGCAGCTGTGTAACTCAACATAAGTGCTACACTTGTGCATGGTCACGTGCTTGTGTGTGCAATACCAGCATTGACTACAGCTGTTGAGGTGTTTGCTGTTAGAACACACTGAGTATAATCTCTTGGGAAATACATGCCACAGAGCTCACTCCTTAAAACTACAGGCCTTCACAAACCATTCACAACCCATTTAACTGGAGATGAACATCCAGCTAGCTGTCAATGAGCATCCAAACTTTTGTTTAATATGCAAATTTGACACTCAAAAGTGGGGCTTTGTATTACTGTTTAATTTAATGACCCTTCAGTAAAACAATATTCTCGAAAAGCCTCGTTTTAGAAATCAGACTGTCCAGATTATTTTGAATGGTTTTGCCTATCTGAGGGGTTTGGTGAAGTTATGATGATGATGCTGGAAATTCTTCCTGACCACAGATTATAAGAAACCATAAAATCCTCACCATCTTAAAGAAAACAAAAGCTGTATTGAGTCATGACCACTGCTTTTAATTAAAAGGAGAGAGGAAGGCAGTGCAGGAAAAGTGGAGGCATCCCAGCTCCAAGAAAACAAACAAAGCAAACTAAAGAAACCCAGAACCTGGAATTGTGAGTGTGGGGACAGACAAAAGAAAAGTGAGAAATGACAAGGCACAGAGAGGTAGAAGAGAAACACTATTAACCAGGCAAAGAGCAGAGAGAAGAAGGTGTTGGGAACAGAGAAGGAGGCACTGAACAGTGAGCTGGGAAGCAGGAGAAGATTACAAGGACAGAGAAGGATTTTAGGAAAAATGAAAAAGACAGCTCAAGTTCTCTTTCTCATCTCCTCTCTCACAGCTCCTACATCCTGCAGAAGGAACAGAGCTGGGATAAGGGCACTGTGGAGAAGGGTGAAGCTCTCAGTGAAGCTCCTCATGAAGCAAAGCTCCCTGCTAACCAAGACCATTTTTGGGTTGCAGAAGAGAGATATATCTCTCTCCTGCAGCCTCTGTGCCTGAGGCACACTGCTGAGCTTAGAAGGCTGGGGGAAAAGGAGCTGGCACTGGGTGGTTGGCAGGAGGATATCACACAGGGATACCAGGCTCAGAGCACCGCGCACTTTTAGGATGAAAATGCACAGTTGGAGTAAATCCAGCAATCAGAAATACTGACCAGCCGATTGAGTGCTGAGGTTTGCTGCAGACTCCTCAGTAAATCCAGTTCTTCTTTCTGGCAATGTTTCAAGACCCCTTTTATGTGCTGATTGCATATGACCAGATACACAACAGGCTTGTCCCTGAGGATGCTCTCCACCTTGTCCTCACAGCTGCCATAGACCATTGCTTAGAAAGACTGCTTAAACTACTCCTCCATTCCTGCCCTCCCTGAGAGTATCAGACTACCCCAAGATTGCTATATATCCATTCTCCTCTAAGATATGTGATTAATTAATAGATCTCACTTCTCCTGTAAACAAAAGTAAATCTCCAAACGGAAAGTTAAATACAAGATTGATACTGACTGCCCAAAGTAGCATAAGAAATTTATCCCAAACCCATAAATTGGGCAGAAATATGCCAGTCTTGTATCTACTGCTTTATCTTCATTAAGAGATGAGAATCAGCAAAGTTTTTAAGTAGTTGACTGAAACTACTTGACCCTGCATGGCAGGGTTAAGATGCCTAAATCAGACAAATAATGGGATGTGGAAACCAAGGTGCCAAACCTCAAATGAGGACACATGGTGTCTGTTTTTTATCTGCTCATGTCTGCTTCATGAAGGTAACCTCTCATGCCCAGCTGCCCTGCCAGCACACCATCCCCACCACTGCTGGGGAACTGAGTCCCTCCACTGGAGATGTCCCTCAGTCCTAGTTCCAGCTCATCAGTGATTTGGACTGGTTTCAAGGCATTCTTTAAAAGCTAATGAAAAGGGAGGGCTGGCTGCGTCACCCCAGCCAGGACTGAATGCTGCCTTCATCATAAATCACAAATCCAATTTTTTCTGTTGACAAAATGAGCAATATATTTCCAACAAAACTCCAGACCTGCTGAAGCATCCGTATGAACACAAAACATTGAATCCCATTTCTAGGATGGCAGAAATAAATCCCATGCAGCATGACATGAGGAAGGTAAAAATATGAAATGTGATTGTAAAATTTATGTAGGTTAACTTGTGATCACAAAAATTAACACAGATCTTTGAATGTTCCTGGTGTCAGTCCATGGCACAGCTAAAATGGTTTGGCTGCCTTAATTTCATACTATGTACGCAACGTATCTAGAATTTCAAGTTCCCAGTTCCTCAGCTGACAGAAATGGCTTCTGAGATGATTTTCACATTCTGGGAACAGATTTTTACCCTTAAATTAGCCATGTGTACTCTCAGACTTAACATTTTGTCTTGAAATAAAACAGCAGCGATAATTGTTAATTTAAGACCCCACACAATGCAAATTTATGTTCTGGAGCCAAATATGCTGATTGGAAACAGATGAACATGAAATGCCTTTTACTGAGCAGAATTAAAACTAAGTATTAGTGAAGTGTGTTGCTAATTTGACACATGACATGCCAGACATTGATTACTGATTTCTTTCTTTGCTACAATGAAATACCAGAAGTGCCCTATTAATCTTTCAAGAATTGTACCACCATTGTTATGAAGTGCCACACGTTCAGCTCCTGTCCCCTCCTGCCTTCATGGGCTTCAGCTGGTTTACTTGTACTCAACAAGGATGAAGCTACTCTTTCCATTACTCCTGACAATGGATTCCTGACACCTCTTGTTTTGGAGCTTTAGTGACAAAAATAAAGATTTTAAACTTCAATGCTCATCTTCTGCTCAGACCCTGAGATCAAGCTCAGAGTGTTGTGGATGGACTTGTGCCTGAGGACTGGAAAAAAGCACCCCAGCTTTCAAAATGGGCAGGAAAGAGGATACAGGGAACTGCCAGCCAGCCTCACCTTCCTCCCCGGAAAGGTGATGGAGTGGTTCATTCTAGAGACCATCTCTATCCACACGGATGACAAGAAAGTGTCAGGAGTAGCAGTTCATTACCTCACTAGTATCAGTTTAGTACCTCACTAAAAGTAGATCATGCTTGACCAACTTGATTGCCTTCTGTGATGAAACAACTGCCTGGATGCATGAGGGGAGAGCAGTGGATATTGCCTACCTTGACTTCAGCAAGGCTTTTGACCCTGTCTCTCACAACATTCTCATAGGCAAACTCAGTAAGTGTGGGCAGGATGCCTGGACAGTGAGGTGGATTGAGTACAGGCTAAACAGCAGATCCCAGGGGCCATAAGCAGTGACACAGGGTCTAGTCAGAGGCCTGTCACCAGTGGTGTCCCCCAGAGCTCTACATTGCATCTACATCAGCACTGCTAACTTGTTCATCAGTGATTTGGAAGAAGGGGAAAATGCCTCCTCAGCAAGTTCACTGATGACACCAAGCTGGGTGCAGTGGTCAATTCTGCAGAGGGCTGTGTGGCCCCTCAGAGGGACCTCAACAGTTTGCAGAGATGGGCAGAGAAGAATCTTCTGAAGTTTAACAAGGACAAATGCAGGGTCCCGCACCTGGGGAAGAACAACCCCATGCACCAGCACAGGCTGGGGCTGACCTGCTGGAGAGCAGCTCTGCAGAGAAGGACCTGGGGGTCCTGGGGGACAACATCTGTCCATGAGCCAGCAGTGCTCTGGTGGCCAAGCAGGCTGATGGTGTCCTGGGCTGCATTGGGAAGGGCACTGCCAGCAGGTCGAGGGAAGTGATCCTGACCCTCTCCTCAGCCCTGCTCAGGCCACACCTGGAGTGTTGTGTGCAGTTCTGGGCTCCTCAGGACAAGACAGACATGGAGCTCCTGGAGCAGGTCCAGCAAAGAGCAATAAAGACGATCAAGGGACCTGAGCATCTCTCTTATGAGGAAAGGCTGAGGGAGTTGGGCCTGTTTAGCCTTCAGAAGAGACAACTGAGAGGGGACCTCATCAATGTCTATCAGTATCTGAAGAGGGGATACCAAGAGTATGGATTCAGACTCTTCTCAGAGGGGCCAAGCAATGGGACAAGGGGCAACAGGCAGAATTCGACCCACCTGAACATGAGGAAGAACTTCTTTACCAGCAGAACTTTTTTAATGGGCACTGGAACAAATTGTCCAGAAAGGTTTTAGAGTCTCCCTGACTGAAGATATTCTAGAACTGTTCAGTCAAAATTCTGTGCCATGTACTTTAGCATCACACTGCTTAAGCACGGAGGTTGGACCAGTGACCCACTATGGTCCCTTCCAACCTCACCCATTCTCTCATTCTGTGGGACTCAGTATTTGAAAAGCAGTATTAATAACCAAGTAAGTAACAGAAAGCTCTGAAGTACTGAGGCTACCAGTGCTCATTTGCACTGAAGGTCTCTGTTACAAAAAGCTAAAGCAATCTACTGAATGGAAAAACAGTAAACAAAGTACAGGCTGGGAATAAAGGATGGTAAAAAGCCTGGAACTACTAGAATACTTCCAAAAAGGAGTCAGGTAATTAAAAATAATAAATAGAAAGCTCTGGAGGACTAAGGCAAGAAGTCTTCACTTGCACTGGAGGTCTCCATTGTAAAAAGCTAGAACAAATTTACTGAATGGAGCAACTGCAATCAAAGTACAGGTTGGGAATAAAGGGTGAGAAAAAGCCTGGAACTACTGGAGTACTTCCAAAAAGGATTCTGCAACATTGATACATACATGGCTGTGTGACTCCGGCCAGCAAGAGAAGAGAAAGCCTCAATTCATCTGAAATGACATTCAACTATATACTTGCAACTGATGAATCTGCCAACCCAATCGCCTAGTAAAGGTGGAAAAACAGAAATTCAATATCACAACATACCTCCTGAGACAACAGGGGAGGACATACTAAAATCATTCTGGAATTGCTCTCCTTTTATCAACCCCTGGGCAGAAAAATGTGCACTTTAATTCAAAAAGTTACCTGTAGAAGCAGAATGCCAAACACTTGTCCACACTCCGAATAGGGGAATGTAATGCTCTAAAGGATTCTGGGAAAAAAAAAAAAAAAAAAGAATATATGAAAAAAGGCATTAAAAAAATCCAAAACACAACGTAGCAGTAACACTGCAGGTGCATGCACATCAGTATTGAAGGTCATGGAAACAGGGCACCAAGGTCAGTCCATGCCAGGGGATGGGAGGGGAAGAAGTGCAAGGGAGCCACAACAGCAATCTGGACTATTTCATATGAAAGGTGAGATAAATGATGACTTCAATGTGGCTGAAGCCTACAAGCTATGTAATAATAACAACTAATTAAAAGGTCATTACGGAAGTCTCAGAACACAAGCTTGCATGTGATTCAGTATCTGATGTGTGAGATGAAATGCATCTGTGCTGGGGATCAATGAATAAATGCAAAAAGGCCAAAATGTCAAAATAAAATTTTTAATTCACTGATGAAGGACAAAAAATTATGCCTTTTAAGTTCTTGTTATAGATAAATAATCCCCTTTGTTGTGTTTTTGACTATTTCTAAATAAAGGAGAGAGAAAATACTGCAAAGAAAAAAACACTACTCTGTTTCTATGATAAAAATTTTGTAGGGCATAGAATCCATGCCAGCTACTTTACAAGTAACTGAGGGGAAAATATCAATATGTAAATGTTAGTGTTATTTCAGGGCAACAGCTAGTTGATTTTGACATGAAAATATGGAATCTATATTGATGATCTGTTTTCCCACACACAAAGTTAAGGTCAAAGAGCAAAATATTTGTGTGCTTAAAAACCCTCCCTTGCTGGGAGGGATGACAGGATTGTTCCAAGCTAACAGCAAAAAGCACAAAAAATATACTATTTAATTTTTGTATGTCTGTATGCAAAAATTCTGCTTTTTTCTTTTCTTAGTCTCTTTCCCTTTTCTAAAACATTCATTTTAGATGCTTTTTAAAACTATGCCAGTATTGTATCTACAAAACACTACTCCTGTCTAGTCAATCAATACATCTTTCATTTCATATGCAGCACCTTCTCCTTTTTCTCCCCAAAATTATTAGCTACTCTTTTGAGATTTAAACCAGCTACTGAAGTCTACACAGAAAAAAAATATGTCCAAAACACTGTATTTTGTGTTACCTGCTAAAAAAGATTGCAAATATCTTCATAATAAATTGGCTGACGGAAAAACACATAATTTAAAAATTTTGAGATAATATTCAATGTAATTAAGCATTTGTGTATGCGATAGGTAAGGGAAAAATAAGTCAGTGTATTTTTTTGGGAGGAAAGCACCTCTGCTGCAGGATGCAGCTTTCTACACATCTTTGTATGTGGGAAAAAAGGCAGTGATGGAGGAAGGGGAGAAGCAGTTTTCCTCTCTGCTGTAAGCGGGGTGACAGCCAGCAGAAGGGCAGAAATGCCAAGCTGAGGAACACCCACTGTCACAATGGCTTTTAAGAGAGATCTAGAACTCAGTTACCACATAAGTGCACGCACAAAAAAGTCTTCTTCTTCCCGTACCAACAAGAATACACTTTTACTTTCTAAATGATACAAGTATATAGACATAATAACTCACATACTATTGGTTTATTCCAATAGTAGTAATTCAAACAGACACATTTATGATATGAATGCCAGTGTGAACTATATAGTGGAATATATGGTTGTTTAGTGAACACCAGTGTACACCATGTTAAGAATGTATAGCCTATTTTATCTTCTAAGTGTTAGAAAGAGGTCACAGTAATAACAAGTGGAAGTACTAATACTGGAGTAGTTCTTGTACAGTGAGTTGCCATAATCCTCTGTAGACACACTGCTCCAGGTCTCAAGGATTTCCCAAGATGGTATCCATTAAATTGTCAAACCACCAGGAAAGCACACACCACACAGGCTTCACTGAGCTTGGTTCTGGACCCAGGACAGAAACGACTGAAGAAGACATACATACACAATTCTAACAGGTGAATGTTCTGTGGAGCTTTTAGTGCATAACTGGTTTCATCATTCATGCCACGGAACAAATCCCCAACAATACTATTTAGCATCTGCTACAGCAGTGTCCACTGACAAAACTGTCCATGGATAAAGCTTATGGAGTAACGTGGAGGCAGACCAAGTTCTGAACTAACTTACACACTGTACAAGTTCTTCAACAGAACACACAATATCCTCACAGCTACACGTCTCACCCTTGGGACCGTGAAGCAGCAGTGTGCACAACCCTCTGTGAGGACTCCTGTCTGCCAACAGGACAGCAAATCCTCAGACAGGCAGCACTGGCAGGATGAACAGAACAATGCAGAACCATGTACTAAATGCCCTGTTTAAGCAGATGAACTGTTCTGGTAAAAGATGTCCCTTAGCACTTTATCAGCCCAAGATAGTGCCCTTCAGCAGCACATTTCAGACAAATCTCTTAATCAACACAACACCCTTAACACAGCTGAGAAGGGTCACATACCCCACAGTGAGTATTTTTAAACATTAACACGGAACTGAAAGAAAAAGTAGAGAAAATCAAGACTACAGAATAAATTTCAGTAGAATTCACGAGCAAGGGCTTATCAGGATAGCTAAAAGCACCAGATCCTCCTTTCCCAATTTAATACACTGTTTAGCATAAGAGGTGTCACATGAATATTTTTCAAGTTCTAATTATTCACACAAGTGCAATTCTTACGTGTTTAGCAAGCACCATGGCATACCCCTGTCACCAAGTTTTGGCTACTCCAGCTACCTCCCTGTATGGCCCAGTTCCAATGCAGAAGAACCCAGAAAGGCCACCAACAACCTACATGCACTTGTTTTTCTTCATGAAAATATAAAAGGAAGATGATAAATAGACAAGAAATAGACTCTGCTCATCCCACACCTTCTGTGGAACTTGCAGTACAATACAAGGCCAGCCCTGTATTGGAAGAACCATCCTACTTGTGATAAACCAATACCAAATGCTCGGCCTCCAAGAAGGCAACCTATGTCTGACAACTACTATAGTTGATTCTCAGGTGCTTTTTAATTCTTTCTTTGATTTCTTCCTGGATCTGGAGGCCCAGGATTTCATTTCTCCTGCAGTTGTATGACTCAGATTAAAATACAGCAGGATATGTTGCTGCACAGATTTACAGTAGAGTTTGAAAATGTTTGTTATCATAAGGAACTCAGTGCTTCTTCCTGGTGATGGACAGACCTGCTTCCTGCAGGCAGGCACAGTGGGGCACAGCTGCCATGGTGTGCACTAACAGCTGTGCACAGTCACCATTCCACTCCTTTCCCATTGACACTCTAATTTTTACTTTTTTTTTTTCCTTTAAGTAACTTAACAAGGCCTATGCAAGCAGATTTGTATCACAGAATCAGAGAAGGCTTTGGGTTCAAAGTGACTTTAAAGATCATTTGGTTCCAACATCCCCACCATGGCCAGGGACATCTTCCACTAGACCAAGCTGGCTCAAAGCCCCGTCCAGCCTGGTTGACTCCAACGGGAAAGACTGATCTCCGCAATACTTTCTCTTATTATTCTGTTATATTAAGTGGCCCCACAGTACTTCTCTTAAAAATCAATAATAGATATGCTGATGTAGTGCCAAACACACAGCAGCTGAGATATGTGCAAAGAACTGATTGGTCACTGGCTCCTACTAGATAGGTGCAAATGGCCTCAACATGAATATTTAAAGCAACCATCCTTATCTTTTCAGTTCTATTTTGAGGAAAAAAAATAAAGAGAGAGAAAGAAAAGTAAGAGAAAGAAAAAACAAAAAAATAATCTAAACCATCTGAGAACAGAAACAACATAAAAAGAGCTGATATCAGACTTCTCAAAGTCACAAAAAATCATGACACTGAGTGATGTAGCTGGTTTCTCCTTGGAGCTTCAGCTAAGATTTAATCTCCTCTGGAAGTGCAGAAAATGCCCCACACCTAGACAGGAGCATCCAAATCAAGATAAGAAACTCTGGACTAGACTCAGACTGTAAAAAAAAAAATATTATCTTCTTTAATTATATGGGTGTGAGCTATTCTCCTCTGAATTAACATTTCTCTGTAGCTTTTTTCCTCTGTAAAACCCCACACTTATTCAAATTTCTCTCAAAAAAATCCTTGTGGAACGCCTAGAAAAACAGTCCACAATGGCTGGGCAGCTGGCATACTGCAATGGCTCATTATCCTAATTTCAACAGGAAATCTCTTATCTGCTGGTTAAATCAAGGTCAAGTGGAAAATTTTAACAACCAATATGAGGAGATCTGTGCATCTTAAAGTTAAGTTTGTAACTAGATAAATTATAAACATTTTTACCATTTTTTAGAAATGTATTTTTTTTACCATTTGATAAGCAAAAGGTTACGCAAATCGTTCAGGAAGGAGTGATGCTCCTTTTCAAGACAGACTGACTAACTTGGGGACAGACACACCCAGGCTGGGTACTGGCAGGACAGAAACTCTCCTGCCATTTGTGATGCCGGGTCACTCCAGTAATATGACACACTTAGAAGATTCTAAGATATTATTTAATATCTTCATAATGAGGTTGAGACCTTTAGAACTAAGTCATTGAAACGCTAACGTACGCACAAAACCACCGAAAACTCCACCTCGTTTCACCAGTGATCCCTTTAGCTGATCCCTTGCCAGTTCAAAATTCTTACAATAAAAAGCACCCAAGATATGAGAAAAACAAATATCAGAGTCCTGCGACTGGCATTGCATATTCAAAATTTTAAAATCCCCAAGGAAGGATTGACCAAAGTGTTTGCCATGTAAGCAAGAGCCCAGAGAGGATTTTTAAATGGAGAAAGAGGCCAGCCTAACATCTGGGTTTCTTATTTGATACATCTGAAGAATGGAAGAGACATCTGTCCCTGGATATTATCAGCAGAGGGACACATCTCATAACATATTCTCAAAGCCATTGTCAAGGACATATCTTCTTCAGCATCTCTTAACTCAAAAGCATGGTGTGCCCCATGCCTGGGGTAAGCATGCAGGCAACTGCAGTGAGGATTCAGGGACAGTAGCTGATTTTTCCTATTTTTTAC